AGAATTTGCCAGACATCATGATCAATAGTTATAAAATGGCCTCAGATTGGTTGAGGGCGTCCCTGCCAAAGACTTAAATCTGATCAGATGACACAAAACATAATTGTGCACATTGTACCTTCACGCTGGAACTGCGCATAAAAACTAAACTGGGCTTGGTATGGAGTCTGGTGATGGCCTGCACATTCACAAATCACACAATATGTAAGTTGCACCATTGAGCTGCATAAAAACTATGTTGAGCCTGATGCCAAATTGCCACTTTGTAGCCAGCTTGCTGGTGATGACAGACAGTATTGCAGGTGAGGTGCAAGATGTGTTTATTGTGCTGATTTGACGATGTGGATGCATGGGTGTAGAGCGTTTGTTGTGTTCTGTGATTTTTGGGGAGAAAAATGAAATCTCTTGAAAATAATGAAATTTTTTGGCAGGTGTTGTCGAGACCTGCAGGCAGTGGACACAAAACAGGAACTTTGATTTACATGGCCTTACTGTTATTTTCCAATGGGAATGATAAAAATAATTTCATATATGTAGCCTATTACAACACTGTTTATAATTTCTGCTATTACCATTATCATATTCTTTCTACATTATCCAAATGTAAATTCGAAGTCTTATCTTAGAAACTAACACTTATATCTTATGCCACTTGTATAAGATTGTAAAAGGGTGTCTTCTCTCTCCTCTGAAAAACATGTGAAAGCACCTCTGTGATCCTAAGTCACAATGCACCACAAGTTCATATAAAGACATTACTAGAAGAATTTATATACAGGTTCAGAATCTGAAATATTAGTATTCTTTGTTACCTGTAATGTGACATAGGAAGGGATGCCTGAGGCTGTGTACCCTTTGACATCTCTCTTGCCTGAAGAAGCTGAAGCATTTTCTGGCTTCGGTGAATATTTTCCTCTCTGGATGGCTCAATGTACTGACGTCCAGTGAACATGTCCAGAATGTAATTATTTTCTTTATCTTCCTCCCAGCAAAATGAATCATCTGTATTTCAGAATAAGGAAACCAATGTAATAAGAAAATACTGAATTAACCTGTAAATTTTCTAATTAAAATTTGGAAAAAAAAAAAGGAAAAAAAGTCAGTAGTCAATATCATCTTTATCTCTTATGAATATTACTTAATAACATTGACAAGCACTTTGAAGTATACTTCACCTTCATCAATATCCTCTGTGGCTCTTTCTACTCCAAATTCATCATCAGACTCTTCTGTTAAGCCAGCTGTGATGACAGCTGTTGGGTCAGTCTTCATGTCCATCTGTGGCTTTATCTCCTTCATAAAATTGAAAGACAATACATCAATTTCTTTTTTTTTTTTAATATTATTCTATCAAACCAAGAACAAGTATCACAATATGGTTTCTAAATAATATAACTCATTTCATTGAAAAGCTGCATAATACTGCATCTACCTCGTGGAAATTTTGTATAATACTAAATCCTTCTTCCATTAAGGATACTGGTAATCTTATTGACACTGGAGAGTTCCACTCTTTTCTTATCTTTTCCTGCTCTTCTGATGAAATTGTTATTGGATAGCCATTTTCACCAATATATTTCTCTGAAAAAAACAATATTATGCTGGTAAAAAAATTGTAAACTAAACCATTCATCTATACAGAAACAGTACCTCCCACACTGAATACTCATCTACATTAATATACTGCTATTCAATTATTATTCTTTTAGCTAACATAAACCATATAACACTCCCTGTTTAAAAACTCAAATTTCTTATTTACATACATAATTTAATTCTAAAACTATTCCTTTACCATTTCATAACCATCTAACATATGCTTAACAAAACCCAAGATTAATCCCTGTTTAGAAATTCAACAATATCTTCACATAATCTGTATGATTCTAAATCTACTTCTAAAGATGAGCAAGAAATACCCTCACCTTCATGTAGCATCTCCAAAATCTTAAGCATGGCTACCAATTCAGCATTTTTCTTGCTAAATCCATATCCCTGAAAAGTCAAGGGTCTGGGCCACTTTATTTTGGAAGAACACTGAAACACCAGCTGGTTGTTCACTCGCCCGACTGCTGATACTGACTGCTCATACCTAAAGAAGGAAGAGTAAGAAACGTTAACCTATCTTTGTTATCAGAGAAAATACAGATGATCCTTCACAATGGCAAAGACAGTAACTTGAAGTAAAAGGAACAGAAAAAAAAGAAAAAGAGAAAAAAAAAGAAAGAAAGAGAGAGAGAGAGAGAGAGAGAGAGAGAGAGAGAGAGAGAGAGAGAGAGAGAGAGAGAGAGAGAGAGAGAGAGAGAGAGAGAGAGAGAGAGAGAGAGAGAGAGAGAGAGAGAGAGAGATGAAAGTGATAAAGAGAAAAAAAGAGAAAGAGAAAAAAGAGAGAAAAAGAAAAGAAATGAGAGATAAGATAAAGGGAAAGAGAAGAAGAGAGAGCAAGAAGAGAGAAAGAGAGAGAGAGAGAGAGAGAGAGAAGAGAGAGAGAGAGAGGAGA